AAAATAATAAAATATATATATATATATATGAGTTTAATTTTTAAATACTACTTGCATGAGGTGTGTGCATATAAGACATAGTTTAGTAATATATATAATAAAAGTTGTGGCTGAGGAGTGAAGAGCACGACTTGTAATTTGCGATGAAATAAATGAATATTTTGAATTTTTTTTTAAAAAAAAACCTACATGGATAATATTTTATTGGAAATTTCTGGTGAATTTTAGGTCGGAGTTTGGGTCGAGCTTTTTGATTTGGTGGGAAAGTGTTAACACCATTACTTTTAAAGCTGTTATTTAAAAATAGTTTAAAACAACAAAATTTTCAACTTAGTAATAAATTTTAATGCTTTTATACTTAAATCACTACCTTTTTACATAATATGATGATAATTTTGTCTTGATAAACTTTGTAATTTGTAAAGCATCCAATAATTTTATTGGGAAAATTTCAAGTCCCACGTTGACTAGAGATTAGGCAATTAAATAGTATATAAGTGAAAAGTAATCCTCACTTTACAAGCCGGTTTTGTAGGGTTGGGTTAGGCTTAAATTCACTATTCTAAGATGGTATTAGAGTTATCCTAGATTCTTAAAAAATGGACCGCCTACCATTGATACATGCACTATAAGCATGAAGGGGTGTATTGAGAAAAATTCAAATCCCACTAATCCTAGATCATTAAAAATGGGTCACCTACCATTTATGACTTAATGATTGAGTTAGGCTTAAATTCACCGAGACTTACCTTAATTATTTTATGACTTAATGATTGTTTTATATTAGCTGTACTTTTTAACAATTAATTGTATTTGTTGTAATAATTATTGTTTTCTGAACAGTAGATCCTGAGCCAGTATTTCAGAGATTAACTTCTTATTAAATCAGTCTTCTAAAACTTTATCTGACCAAATCAATTTCTAATAATACAAAATATTTATCAAATTTATCTTCTTATATAACATTTTTTATTTTCTATAAATAAAAAAACGAGTCGTAATATTTTAATTTTTAAGAGATTAATTTAAAAATAAAAATATTTAAAGGACCAATATTACAAACTATAGTTTTTTTTTGTGAAACTAAAAGAATGGATAAGACATAGATATAGCAATGCAGGTGTTTTTAGTATTATTTAATTAAAATGAGCGATTTATATATCTCAATAATTCCTCTCAACCTTTATTTCATGAGCTATCAAATTAAAATTAAAATTTTAATTAAAAATATTAGCAACCTATTTTCTATCACTCTTTTTTAATACATTTGTATAGACTTTTCAAAGAGCCACTGGGTCATTCAGCCAAAAAATAAAAAAAAAAACCTGAACCACTTGGGTTTTTTTTCTTAATTGGTTGGACAAAGATGCCCCTGGCAGCGATTCAAAATGACGATTGGGGGACTCAGTTAAAGTAGAGAGCTCAAAGATTCACACACTGCTTTCTTTTTCAAACCCCCTCCATTCCTTCACTTGAAAATTTTATACAAAACCAAAAATATGTCCTACAAAAATTAATATGGTATTGGTAATTGAATTTTTAAGACATGAATCTTTGAGCAATATCAAAAAAAATTCTCAAATATTATTTATGATGCCATTAGTCATGCATGGATTTATTACTCAAACAATTATATTTATTCTATTTTTTCATAGTTATTTTGTCGGTATCTTATTTTTTTTATTGTCATTTTTATCAAAAATCAATGACTTATTATTATTTTTTCATTTTTATCCTCGATAATAAATATATGTTTATTAAACAATGTATCTATTTATTTTTAAGAGTTAATCACCAATACATTGTTAGTGTAAAAAATTTTTACATTAGCAACCAATTATATCTTTTAATAGTGTTATGTCAGTTGCTTATTTAATAAAATAAAATAATTTAAAAGTTATAATTAGTTGTCAATGTAAAATTTTTACATTAGCAACCAATTATATCTTTTAATAGTGTTATGTCAGTTGCTTATTTAATAAAATAAAATAATTTAAAAGTTATAATTAGTTGTCAATGTAAAATTTTTACATTAGCAACCAATTATATCTTTTAATAGTGTTATGTCAGTTGCTTATTTAATAAAATAAAATAATTTAAAAGTTATAATTAGTTGTCAATGTAAAATTTTTACATTAGCAACCAATTATATCTTTTAATAGTGTTATGTCAGTTGCTTATTTAATAAAATAAAATAATTTAAAAGTTATAATTAGTTGTCAATGTAAAATTTTTACATTAGCAACCAATTATATCTTTTAATAGTGTTATGTCAGTTGCTTATTTAATAAAATAAAATAATTTAAAAGATATAATTAGTTGTCAATGTAAAATTTTTACATTAATAGTGTATGGATGATTAACTTTATTTCTAATGTCTATCTATTTTTTCTAACCACCTTTGTGAAGTTAATGTTACATTTATGAGAACAATATATTTTCATTGAAATAGAAAAAAAGACAGCTATTTACAAGATTCTTTAACTTTAAAAAAGGTAGAAGATTTCATGTATACAAATCAACGGTCTCAAGACTTGAATACAAAAAAAAAATAATAAAAAAGTAAGTAATAAATATTTTTAAAAATTAGAATATAAATCATTTTCTTAAGTTTCATGTAAAACCTTAAATGACTATGAAAGAAAAAAAAATGGAAGAAGTAAAATATATTAAAAAAGAATGTAAATGATAGAATGCATAGATGTGAGTGAGAGATTTGGATGTAATCTTATCTGCCTAGTTGTCAAGATGTCGAGAGAAGGGGGAACACTCCAAGTCGAAGCATGTCCCTTTTCGTAATTTCAGCCACACTGTGCAAATAAATACCAAAACCTTTCTCTCTCACATCACAAGAACAAGAGCATGGAAAACTCAAACTGCGTCTACAGAGAGTGCCTCCGCAACCACGCCGCCAGCCTGGGGAGCTACGCCACCGACGGCTGCGGCGAGTTCACGCTGCAGGAGGGGTCCCTCCAGTGCGGCGCCTGCGGGTGCCACCGCAACTTCCACCGCAAGGCGGCCTGCGAGGGGGCGGAGGTGGTGGGGGGCGGAGAGAGGAGCAAGAAGAGGTTCCGGACGAAGTTCAGCGCGGAGCAGAAGGAGAAGATGGTTGTGTTCGCGGAGAAGCTGGGGTGGAAGCTGCAGCGGAGAGAGGTTGACGACGAGATAGAGAGGTTCTGCCGAAGCGTTGGTGTTAGCAGACAGGTTTTCAAGGTGTGGATGCATAACCATAAGAATAACTCTAACTCTTCTAATTCCTCTGCTAACCTCTCTTCTCTCACTCAATAACATGCAATGCACTATGCAACCAACCTTTTCATGTAATGTAATCATTTTCTATTTTCTCTTTTCCTTCTTGCATCACTAAGATCGATCCATATGGACAATGTATGTTTGGATTTCAATCAAAACAATTATAATTATATTAGAATTAGATTCACCAACACACATCACTACAAGTTAAAATGGAGTGGAGTGGAGGGGAGAGAATTGTCTTTCAATTTGTCTTAAATTAATTTTTTAAAAATAAATTTGATTAAGATCGAATTATTTTTGTTTATGTTATTCTGGGTTATGATAAAAATTAATTTATTATTTTATATTTTAATCTTTACTTATTGGCTATTTCATATCTTTTTAAATTTTATATTAGTGTAAGGTAAATGTTTTTTTTAATTTTTTAATGATTAATTATTAAATATTTATTAATTATCACTTTTTATATAAATATTAATCTTTGACAAAATTAATAACTATTTTGTACCTATAAAAAATTAAGATATTTGATAATACTAAATAAGATCATAAAATCAAAATCAATGAAGGAGAAAGAGAAAATAAAAATAAACACAAAAAAAGTGCTAAAGTCTAAATTATATATATATATTTTTTTTAAAAATAGTTAATCAGTTTAGTTCATTTTCCAAACTCATTGTTTTTCTTTGACTTTTTGCATGATGAAATAGTTAAAATTTAATGTTTATATTCAATCTAATTTTATTATATGAACTCAAAAATGGATGTGGTATATATTTATTTATAGTTTATTTCTTTTTACATTATAGTATAAATATTTTTACAATATCAATCAATTAAAGTAATTATTAATATACTTCCTGTTAACTGGATTAGCCTAATGATTGAGTGGAGAGGAATTGAGATAGTTAAACACATGGAGATCTAGATTTAATTCTTATTATGATAATCTTTGTAATCTTTCTTATTTTTTTATAAAAAGATATGCTTACCATTAATAGTAATTTATGAATAATTGACAATATTTTTCTACAAGTCTTAATTAATATATTTGTAATAAAACACCTGCTGTTCTATCTTTAAAAAAAATAAAAAAAAATAACAGCTGCTATGATGTGTTGGTTATCACATTAGTCTTGCACACTAAAGGTCCCCAGTTTGATCCTGGGCAGCAATAATTTTATTAAACAATAGTTTTTAACTGATTAAGGAATTATAATATTTTCTACTCATTTATGTTTTTTATACATACATCTAAAAAAATACTCCCTTAACATTTTAGTTGTAAAAAATACATATATATTTTCCTGTTCAACCTTTAATTGCAGCTTGATTAAGCAAGAAGCATTGAGGGTTTGGAAGGCAATGATTGGATGAGTAATAGTTGAATTTTGTTTTCTTGACAATTCACATAAATTAAAATGAATTGAAGGGTAGGGCTTAAATGTCAGATGAATACGTGGTAAAGAAGAATCTTTTGCAAACGATGGAGGACCACGAAGTACTGACCCTTATGGATTCAGTTTTTACCTTCATTTCTACGCAAATCCAAAAATAATTTAAACATGTCCCTTCCTCCACAACAAACTTATGCTGTCTCACACCCATGTGCATTTTTTTATATACTTAGATATAAGGATTAATCTCTTGAGATTTTGATATTTATTTGACAGACTAGTCTTTTAACATATATATAGGACATGAAGATTGAAACCCTAATCACACGTTTTAAAGAATAAAAATATCTATCACTTATATCATGTAATTTCATTGAAATTATTTTGATTTTTATAAAGGAAGAATTATTATATCCTCCCTTATTGATTGTAATTTGTTGAAATTTTTAAGATGAGGAGAGAGAACTAATAAATAAGATATGAGATCTACCAATTTTTATATTTTTTAATAAATTTTAACTAATTAAAAAAATGTGTTTAAAAGAACATATTATTTCTTAACATTTTTCTCTAAGTATAAACATGATAATCAAATCACTGATTATATATTTAAAAATATAATTATTTCTCAATCATATCACACTCCATCATCTCTTTTTCTCCAAGTGAAATGTTTAAAAGACAAAAGAGTATGAATGAAATGTGAAATTTGAGGATCTGTTTAGAACCCCAGAGACAAGACCAGTGTTTAGGTGAGACCACCTGGCATGTTGCCAGTACTGAGGTGGTGCTCTTGTGATTAGGGACAAAAGAAAAGACAGCATATGCACTCGCAAATTGCAACCTGACCACAAGATGTTGAGAGGCTAATCTTCCCTTTATATATAGCCAGGTTGTACTAGCAGCATATTCATCTCTTTCTAATGGAGTTTTCTACAAAGAGACTATCCTCAATAACTTGTGGTTATATTGCACTTACAAGTTCCAACCCATTTTTCTGTGAAAGGGATCTCTTTGAAAAATAATGCATGGAAACTTAACAGGTAAATGATAGAGAAAGAGAGAAATATAATGAAAGAAAGATAGAGAAAAATAATAAATGTTGACAAGTAACCTGTTTCGTATTACGTGTCATGAAATATATTTGTTACTCCTCAAAGTCTATATCATCTCCATTTTTCTTTTCTTAAGCTTAGTAATGAAAGGGAAAAAAAATGGAGAAGTTTTTTTTCTATCTTCCGCATCTTCCTTATCAATGATGTGATTGTTCACATTTTTAATGCGAAACTAAACTCGTAAGAAATGTATAATATATGAATATGTTCATTATAAATTTTACTCAAGAAAATTTACTAAATTTGTAATTGTTGTCTTTTAAGATAAAGATTAGCAAAACCGAAGTTATAATACTTGGTCCTGCTGCATAGGAAGTGCTTGAACATTTTTAGTGTTAATTGAAACGCAAAATCTCAATTACTTATTTATTGTTGTAATTATATCCTACAAAATCATCCAACAAGTCTCCTTCCTACTTTATTAACAAACTATTAAATGAACTTAATGTCTTGAAAATATAAAATATGTTCAATGTTTACCATAAAAATTTAAGAGAATTATGTTTTGGGTATAATTTTTTGGATAACAAAATTTATATTAGAATAAGATACGATTCTATGTAAAGTTAAAACCAATTATCAATTTCTTTGAAACTTTTTTGTGGGATTATAGATTATTTATTTTATTCTCAATACAATACAAGTTTACATGAAAGAATATAAGACAAAAAAAAAAAGTTAGATTCAATTCTAAGTATAATTAGTAAAAGTAAAAAGATTTAACTAACTGTGCCACTCTCGCAGAACCGTCTTGAGTATTTTGTAGCAAATTTCAACTCCACTTAAAAACCAAGCAATCATCTCTACCATTGAGCCTGAGCCTATTGGGTGGTGACTTTTGTTCTTAATCCTGTTTGTTTCAGCTTGGAGCGAGCTAAGTTTTCAAACTTGCATCTGAATATTGAATAAGAGGCAGGAATTGAGAAGACACGCATGATTAAAGGGGCCAATATTGGAGAATAGATGGGGGCAGTGGAACTCAGAGCCCACTAACATCTCAAATGGCCACGTTCTATTGAAAACGATGGATCCATCACGCTACTTACTTTCCTACAACCCCACTCCTATGCAATTTTTCTCATTCTTGTCCACTCCCTTCAACCATATTTCCAAGAAAACTGCGAGATCAAGATTAAGGCATTGTGTTAATATTCGGTTGGATCGGAGATCCTACGTCAATTAGTCATAAGGACAACCAATATATATATATATATCCTTTTATTCCAGGAGTAACTTTACTTAGACTTACTTCATTCAATAACTCATTCAATTTAAAGTTCTTAATGTATAGATCAAATCTGCAAAGTTTTAGAAAATTTGAAAATTATTTGATACTTCATTTCATTAATTCGAATCAATGTATAAAATGATTTTATAATTATCCGTCAATTTGAATTAAGGAAATGAAGTATCAAATAATTTTTAAATTTTCTAAAACTTTGCAGATTTGATCTACACATTAACAACTTTAAATTTGACGGTTAGATCATTGAAATTTGATGTAGAACATGAGTTATTGAATGAAGTAAATCTAGGTAAACTTTACTTCTAGAGTAAAAGGATCCATCCTCATATATATATATATATATAGGAGGGTTATAATAATACTGGTGTAATTTTTATTAAATATTATATTATTCAATAACTTTATATTAAATGTAAATTTTGTAAATACAACCGTTAGATTAAAAGTTTATATCACTTTATATGTGTATATTAAATTTTGTTAAAATTAAACAACTTAAAGGTAATCAAAGTGTTCATATTTTAATATAATTTGAAATGAATATATTACATCAATTTTATTTTATAAGAATGAAGTATCAAATCATCTTGGATTAATATAAAATTTTGTATATATGATCTACGAGTAAAAAACTTTTAATCTAACGGTTGAATTTATAAAATTCAAATTTAATAAAATTATTAAGCGGTGTTATACTTAGTAAAAATTACATCGGTATTATGATAACTCTCCTTATATATATATATGTGTGTGTGTATGAAATAATCTTTACTTTACAAGTCAATTTTATAAGATTAAGTTAAATTCTAATCTACTTTCTATAGATAATATCAAACTCTCATATCAAGCTGCTATTAATCACATTGACTACAAACAAATTTTGTAGAATTGAATTATACCCAAATTCAAATTCCTAATATAGTATTAGAACTATCCTAAATTCGCTAAATAGGCTAAACACATGAAGCCCAATTTTATAAGTTTGTATTAGATTCAAACTCAAGTTTCTAAAATAGTATCAAAACTATCATAAACCCACTAAAATAGGCTACACATACAAGTTCAACAATAATGTTGGACATAAAAATATATATATTTAAAAGAGTCCTATATCGATTTTTAAGATAAAGAATTTATGAGAGTAGTAGGATTGAACTGAATCCAAAAATTCATTATCTAAAATAATATTAAGGCATATCAAAACCTATCCTAATGTGACATGGGTGTGTTGGGGGATCTCAACTCACTTGACAAGTTAATTTTATAAGACTAAATTAGACTTTAATACACATGGTATTCAACACTATTATTTTCCATTTATATAAACTATTATAATCTTAATGAAACGATATCACTAGCTTCTAAACCTAATCGCTACAGTCGTTTACTACTGGCATACAGCGGCTAAACTGAAGAACAAAAATTACAATGAGATGAAATTAAGATGGATATTATTGTCGAATGTAGCAATTAAGTTTTAAATTTACATGCAGTTTAAAATTTGGGTGGTGTATATGAAAGTGCTCTCTCAGCTTTATGCATTAAAAAACATAAGCGGAGAGCCTAATGGTTACAAGAGTACAAAATTCGGAACAAAACTTGGCTATATCCGCACAAACAGGACATCGCAAGAAGAGCGAGCTATAATATATAATATGTGTGCCTGCCTTAGCTTAGCTCTCGTATTTGGCCTTCACAGCTAAGGTCGCAGCTCTGTACCATGTCGCTGCAGCCATAGCACCCGGATCAGGAACTTTCGAAAGAATCTCCCCAGATACATAAGTTGAACGCCCAGCCTGCATCACATCCACTACCAATCAATAAAAACATGCAACTCATTTACTTTCTTATTTTCTTTCATAAGCATCTACACCACAGAAGTTCTCTCACGTAAACCAACAGTAAGTTGTCACCTGTGCTTGCATGTCTACAGTTGACTGAGCTCCAGCTAATGCAGCTTCAGAGGAGAGAATAAACGCGGCACAAGGATCATGACCAGAATTTAGTTTCTGTGAAGTCAAATCATTGTAAGTAAACAGTAAATAAGGTCATAAAAATAACCAAGGGAAATGAAGAGATGTTACCTCTTCAAGAACAGATGATGCTGGAATAAGGGCATCTAACAATGTTCTATAACCAGCACTCGCGCCCCCATATTTACTTACAGCAGCGATGGAAGCTGCAAGTGCTTCTGCCCCTGAATCAACATAAGACTCATGAGGGATGGACAGTCCAACCAAAAAAGGATCAAAAGGAAACTGTAAAGTTCTAGTTAAACGTCGCTTGATTTGGAGAATGTTCTCACATTGTTTTGATGTGATACCAGAATGGGAGCTCGCTTTCAGATGTGAATATGCTGCCTTAAAAAATATTGTATATCTGGAAAAAAATCAGTGAGTGGCAGTAATCAGAAAGCATAAATGATTTAACTTTAAAGGAGGCATAGGAATGGAAAATACATGATCCCACTTGTTCCTCCCATAGATCTTCCAATTGATGAACCAATTTCACCAACAGTCTCTGCAGCATCATTTAGGGGGTAACTGTAAATAAATAATAGCAGTTTAGGTCAGACTGTTATCACAATCCAAATTGACAACATACTTGCAGCAACCACCTTTGTAGTTGCTCAAGGGCATAAACTCTTATAATGCAATAAAGAAAAACATATATAAATAATCCATTAATCAAATAAATGGGCAAATAACTGATCATTATGGACTCAACATATTAGAAATAACATTAAATCTAAACAATAAAAACAAAATTATATAGAGGGCTAGGAACTGCAGAGCATAAACTTACTTTTTTATGTCCTCAAGAATTGCTTTTGCACCTCTATACATCTGCAGAAGAAAAACCAGACACCAAATAACACACATTACACATTAACAAACAAGAATAAACAAGGAGACAGTTGACGATGAGACTCACAGTTGATCCACAGTCACCATCACCAACTTTACCATCCCATTCATTTAGATCGTCCTTAAGATTTATAATTGCATTTGCAGCAGCTTCAATAGCTACCTCAAGAATTTGGCCTTGCTCATTAAGTTGTAGTGGCCGACTTCGTGGCTGTACACACAAAAATATGGAAACCATATTTCACAAATTATGTTAAGACAATAAAACTTACGGTTAAAATAAAAAGGAACAAGAAAGCTGACTACAAAGTATTTATTTCCCTCCAAGAGAAACAAGATATCAACTGTCAAAAAGTATAGGGGTTTTTAGCATCATCGTTTACAATTATAATAACAAACACCATGTTGTCAAAAGGGAGAAAATGTCCATAGCATGCATGGATAAGCCAAGTTGCATAAGAAACCATAATTCTCGTTCAATTTGAACAATTTCTTTTTATACAAACAATTGTAATTCACAATCAAAAATTTGTTTTGTACTGAATGTATGACTAGCGGGGGGGTTCATTTATAGAAGATAATTTGATTGAACTGATGCAGACAACTAAAATTCACAATAAAATCATTTAAACTAAGAATTTGATTGGATGGTAGTAAAGAAGTAAATACAGGACTCAACATTAATAACATTAATGCTTAGTGCAATAAATAACATTAATACAAAATTGATGGTTGATAATCTTAATTATATTAGTTTCAATACTAAATGCAGGACTCATTGTAGATTTTAGAAATATTGTATGAAGAAGGAACAGGAAGTAAACATTTGAAGGAAGGTGGCAGCATCACTTAAAATATAGCTACAGAAGAGAACCCAGTGGCCAGGTGCTGGGCTTCTAGCAAGAAGTATATATATTGATGGTAGTAGGATAAGGGATAATAAGATATAGTTGAACTGTTGCACCAAAAAGAAAGAAAAGTTGGATATATATATATATATATATATATATATATTGTGAAAAATGTTTTCTGTGAGCTGGAATGTCATTTTATGCAGGGACCCGTAATTCAAGGTCTGATGTGGAGAGTTATGGTGGTCAGCATTAAGAAAGGCCTGCTATTCAAGTACTCCTCCAAATGCTTTACAAAGTGCTGGATGATGACGATGCCCTCTATTTGGAACCTCACAGTTGACTGTTAAATTGCAATCTCCTGAAGGTTTTCCAATAGGCCACCATGTTGGCCATGCACCGCCCAACACATCCATCCTGTCTGACATTTTCGGTGGCGTGGACAGCAATTCCACACTCAAATAAAATTCTCCCCTAATCCAGTAGGTCAGACCAATGACAATGACCAGAACAGAAAGTATAGCCATGATGAGTATTATTGAATAAGAAATACAAACCCAAAAGAACCAATACAAATCAATAACTGGAGCAACAGCTCCTCAGAAGAAATTCTCTCCGCCCAATTGAATGGCTCAATGAATACATCACAAACCCCCTTCATACTACTCACATGAATTAGTCAGTTCATACTTCATACCATCTTAACTAAATACCCCTAGGTTCCACTTATTTATTTTAGAATAAACTCCCCAAATGGCAAGCTTTTCTTGTTGCTGACCCACTATAACTCCTTCCATGCCAGACTTTGAATTACGAGCCCTATTATATAATATTAGTTTAGCTTCAATGGTATGCACTTAGAAGTACTGCAAGTTTTGTGTGAATAAAATAAATCATTAAACCACTTATAGATTAAGTGCAGTTAACTATATTGAGCTAACAAACTAGTATCAAATATAAAACAGAAAAAGAATGTTGGTCAAATTTTAATTTTCAACAACTAAACCAGAAAAAAAACTACAGGATAATGTGATTAAGAGTTCATATGAACCTTTTTCATAGGGCTGTTATTAAGCATAAATATTGTTAGATCACAATAGTTACATGTCATTAGAAGGGAGATGACATGTAATTTACATGGATATACCTCATCAGTTTTTGTTGAACGAGACACTGGAATTGGAACAGGAATCTTTGCAGGTGGGTGATTACCTTGAAAGAAAAAAGAACTTTGAAAGATCAATAGATGAGCAATTAATAAAGGTGCTCCAATCAATATTACAATTGAACAAACATTTTAGAGGTAAAAGTTTGTTATGTACAGATAAAATTGAAAGTTTTAATGTGATAAAATTGACTGACGAAAACAACTAGAGTGAATTACCAACCATCAGCAGAAACAGGCCAATAAGGAGCTTTAGTTGTGGCATCTAATCGTTGAAGAATAAGTGGATCAGCTTTCATGATAGAAATTGAGAAACCTAAAGAATACGAAATATGTTAATCAGAACTTTAATAATGTATCACAAAGAAAAGTTGATTGTCATTATCTTTGGCAACAAACCTGCCATATCAAGTGAAGTCATAAATGACCCTGTATAAACTCTATCAACAGCCAGCCCATGCTCAAGCTGTAATTTTGGAACTGCTTTTCCAGCTGCAATCATTAGTTCCATTATAGGAGTGCCACCTAACCTGTATATGAAGAATCATTTAAAAAACAAATAATCTACTTAAAAGAAAAAAATTTCTGGTCAAAAGGAAACCTGAACATTAATAAAATAATTGAAATTTGAAAGTATTTTCAGATGTAATATTTGAAATCTTGTATTATGGGGTTCATTAGTTAGAAATATCCGAAAAATATTTATAAGTAAAATGAATTCTAAAGAGCATGCATCTAATTAAAAATACAATATAAGAATATACAAATACTGAAGACAGAGAAGAGAAGATTGAAGAAGGGAGGTTAAAACCTACAAAAGATGCACACACAAAAAAGCTGAGAAGGTTGATAAATTTTTAATGCTACCTAAATAGAGGGCAATAAATTTTCAATATAAAATACATCAGATTAGACAACCTGTTTTAATGAAATCTCTTTGGTTGTAGACAAAAGATGTTATCTATGAAACACACTGCACTCAGACATGCACACATATACTAAAAAATTCAAGTTCCAATATAAATAATATTAGCAAAATTTACACAATTTAAAATTAACTCTAGTTCTCAAGCAAAGATAATATTCATGAACCTACCCATTGACCATGAGGACCACTCTTTCTCCTCGAGTTATTGGAACATAGTTTGTTTCCTGCAAACATTACCATAAACAGATTGTGACCCATTCACTATGATGATAGTTGCTACACTTGCAGAGACACAAAAGCAGTTAATACTCGAAGCACTTCCATTGAAGAAAGAGTAAATTGATAATTAGATTCAATTTTGGGATCAAACTATGCACATTATTCCCACCAATTCCCAGAGTTCTTTGTAAGAAGATATTTAACAAGAACACAAATTCCAAATTTCCGTTCAACAGAAAAGCTATCTCACATAGCTTTTCTGTTCAACAGAACGTAACAGCAAAACAAACACGCCTATTATAGTCAAATTTTAACTGTTACAAATGTTAGCAGATAAAATAGTCCATTTGGCATCTTTATGTTACAAGTTTTAGCATGGGTTTTCTTTGTCCAATATTTGTAAGATCAGGGGGCTCTAACATTGGAATTGGAATATACTTCCCAATTTTAATTTTTAATTGGTCATTCTTTCTATTGGACTCAATTTAGAGAAAATAACTTTTAATCAGTGTATTGTCCTGTTCTCTCTCCTATTTATGCTAGTCTATACCAACATAAGTTGGCAAAACACGGTTTGGTCTCTAGTGTCTCCAATATTTATAAATAAACAATACACTAAAACTTAGGCACTGATGTTAGCAGGTAGCTTATTGAATAGAAAATCAGAAAAAGATATAATAGGAGATCTATATAAAGCAGAGAGGGGGGAAGAAAAAGAAGAACTTAAAACACTAAAATTCTTCAGTCTCATAAATATGATAAACAGAATGCCCCCACCCCAGTACAGTCAAAGGCTGAGCATCAAAGTTCATTTGTCACAAATACAACAACTGTTTTGATGTGGTTGTAAAGTACATGTTAGAAGAACATTTCATTCCCAATAGCATACACCCATCAAGAGCTTTCCATTAATATTGTGGCATACCGTGGACAATATTTGCTGCAGCACATGAGAAACCACCACATTTACAGGTTGAATATCAGCCACAGCTGCACCGGGTTCTCCATGCTGTAGAAAAGTAAGATGTAATCAGCATATTTTGGAACTTGGATGAGAAGTGAATATAGCAAAGACATACTTCAATCACAACACAAGGGAGATAAATATCAAATAACAATGGAGTAGTTTTTATGAAAGAATAATGTATTAATAAACAGAAGAATAAAGAAAAAAGAAAAGGACACTATCTCTAGTATTGTGAACTGAAAACCACAAGAAAAATAACAAGAGCTTATTTCAGCTTATAAAATCTGGACTGAAAAATCTGCACTGCTGAATTTTTTCCGGAGATTTATACTTTGTAGGTTGGGAGGCATTAAAGTAAAGGCCACTTACAATTCCAAGACCCAGTTCCATCTTTCCTGGCCCCAGACGATCTGATGTAACCTGACCAGGAATTGTGCAAACAGTCAAAGCAACTCCCATTGTTCCCACTATTTCGGATGCATGTTTGGCTCCTGCAGCAACTTCAGCAAGAGAGAGACCAGCTGCAGCTGCAGCTCCAGCAACCTGGTCCAGTCAAAAGAAAATCATTAAATGTGAATAATACATTAATGAAATTTACATTAATACACAGGTCAGTTAGTCCCTTCATAAGTTCATATGAAAATGTTTAAAGGAGTGGTTAGAGCATTTGTATGCATTGATAACAAACAGAATGCAGAAAGAAACCTTATGAACAAGAATAGTCCCTGCCAAACCTCTTCTTCCAGCAATTCCTCTAGGTGGAGGTAGTGCACAATCATCCCCAACAATAACAGTCTGCATATGCAAAACACAAGTCATACTCTACCTACATATTAAATATTAAATTATTTTCAGGAAGAAAACACTAGCCAGATAGACATACCTCTACTTTATAACCTTCAGATTTTGCTAGCTCAGCCGCCAAACCAAAGTTCAATCGATCACCAGTATAATTCTATCAACACCCAAATTCGAACACTATGAATTCAGAAACAAAAGCAAATCCTAATGACTCATCATGAACTGACCATACTAATGCAAAAGCTACACTATGTGCTATTTAAAGCATGAAATTGATTTCACAATATGTCAAGCTTTTTTTATTTTTATTTTTTAGGGCACACATTTATTATCTTAATCACATATTCACAGCAGACAACATATTCCATGTGTACGACCTCTAATATGCACACTTATCTGAAAGATCAATGCAAAAAACTATACTAAGAATGGCAAAATGCAAAAGAAAGAAGGGGAAAAAATAATACCTTTACAATCAAAAGACATCCTTTAGGACCAGTTACAGCCCGTATCCCCTGAATTTCAAATCATAATAATAAGTGGGTCAGAAGTAAAAAAGAGAGCAGTTTGCTTATAACTGAAAGGTCGATATACATATATCAATCTCAGTAATATGAAGTATGCATACAGCTAAAATTGAATCAACAGGAGGAGAAGAAAATATATCTCCACAAATTGCTGCTGTAAGCATTCCCTCTCCCACAAATCCAGCATGGGCAGGCTCATGGCCACTTCCTCCCCCTGTAAAATAAAATATAGATGTAGACAATTTTCTTAATAAACCCTATGGAATTATATTAACTGAACAACTAAAGTTGTGAAATCATCCTAAGAAATTTCATTTTATGGGTCTGTTTGGATAAACTTATCCAGAAGCACTTCTAAGAGAAAAACATAGGAAGGAAAATTAATATAAGTTTCTCTATAAGTTGAAACTAACTTATTTATAAATCATAAGTTAAAAATAATATTTTGGAGAAGCTAATAGGAAAGAGCTTCTGCAATTTAACTTATGCATAAGCTAATTTTGACTTATGGAAAAACTTACTTCACTTTTCCTTCTTATTTTCCTAAGTTATAAATGTGTCTAGAAAAGTTTATCCAAATAGACCTTATATATGTTCCATAGGGTCAAATATTATATTTGCATCCACCATTATTCCATCCCCCCTTCTTGTACCTTTTTTATTCGATTTTCCTTAATTGACATGACAATTCCTACATTCTTTGATCCAAACCCTAATAACAAAACTCCTAAAAATGAACCGTAAAGAAATGTAGAGTATCCAATGGATGATCCCACACCTGAAATGACTGCAACTTTATCATATGTTGCAGCTGAAACATCTGCCCGTAACACAACCTTCACCTGCATTCAAGCAAAAAAGCAACAAAAAGAAAACCGAGAAACTCACTCCTTCAGCAACTCTCACATTTATTACAAGTTTGCATATGAACATGTATGTATAATCACCAGAGGAAAGCCATCCAAATACTGTAGTCCAGGATATGTCTCCACAAGACCTTCAATGAACTCAGTGACAACATCTGCAATCAAATTATATATATATATATAAGGAAATATTTAATTTCTAAGACAGTCCTTCTATTCCATACACATATTGTCCAATTATTGCAAAAGTTAAACACAATCATAACTGTAGTGCTAATAAGGAAAATATAAAACAAAAATCTAACAACCTAAATCAGAATCTAACTCTCTGGCGTTAATCTTTGAACAATTACTCAATCAGTGAATTCCACATCAAGTATTACAAACTGAAACAGCAATTTCCATCATTGAAAGCACAGGGCGATTTAGTCAAAGACGAATGCTAAAACATTTCATCATGTTCAAAGAGATTTTAGGAAGAAGAAAAAAAAAGTCAACAAAATGCACAGAATAGAAACAGTTGAAAGAGAAGGCGATTAGAAAAGAAAAATACGAAGAGCACAGCAATTGCGGGCAGAGGAAAGAGAAAGAAGAGAAGGATTGCAGGAGAAATTGAAGAGAGAGAGAGAGGCGCACCATTGGCGTCATCGATGAGCTTCTTGGAGGGAAATGCCATGGTATCGGAGCTGGGAAATTGAAGGAGAGAATGGGAGAAAGCGACAACCCTAGAAATGGTTTTGCATGAAACAGTGGTAAGAAGAGAGAGAGAGAGAGAGAGAAGAAGAGTTGTTGTTGTTGGTGTTGGTGTTGTTGCCTTGTTGGTTTGGTGGTGGTGTGAGTGTGGGTGTGCCTCTTTATATACACAATCTCAAGAGAAGGAAAGCGGGGGAGTTGATAGTTGCCTTCTTCCAGCAAGCAAAATTAAATTAATTAACTAAAACTAAATCTTCTTTCTTTATCCAAATGCCCTTCATCTTCACCCTAATTACTCACCTTTTCTTTTTAATTGCTTAACTTTTCATTTTAATTAACCATTTTAAATATTAATTAATATCACTAACCAATCGTTAATCTCTTTTATTATCAAATTACGTGAATCTTTTTATGATATAATAATAATATTAGTAGTAGTAAATGGATACATTGATGTGGCTAGAGATTTCTTTTTAATCAAAGAGTTTTTAAATTTTTTTCTAACTTTTTATTTATCATATTTTTTTATAAGTTAAATTTTTATAATTTAAAATAAATTATCAATAATTTAAAATGATTTTGTGCAATAATATAAATTATATAACATAAATATAAAATCTAATTTATATATTCACCCAAATGAATAACCATTTTGTGTCACAGTATTATTAGGAATTTTTCTTTCGATGAAAAGTATTTTAGACATTTTTTTAAACTTTTATTAATTCAATTTTTTATTTATTATATTTATTTATAAAATGAATTTTAATATTTTTAAAATGAATTATCCATATTTAAAAATAATATGATACAAGATATCTACCATAAATTTAAAATATATTTTATATTTTTAAATATTTAATTTATATAAAAAAATTAAATGTAATTATATATATATATATATAATATTTATTATAAATTGTAATTATACATAATAAACATTTAGTATATATATTACACACAATGGAATACTAATTAAGTTAAAATTGAAATTAAGAAAAAATAGTTGAAAAAAGTAAAATATTTAGAAGAAAAATGCTCGCTATGTAATGTAATACTATTAGGATAATATGATATCACAATAAGAATTATTCTTAATATAGTATATTATTTAAGCGATATAATTATTGATTTTATTAAAATATTAAAAAAAATTGAGACATTTCGTCTTTATGTAAATATAACGATAACTGATGAATAATTGCATAATTAAAAAGTTGTTTAATAAAAAGTGATGTAAGTGATTATTTACAAAATATGAGAAATTTATTCTTTTAAGAATATAATGATCTATTAAAAATAAAAATAAAAAGTAATTATACATTTATATATCTCTTTTATAATTAATTAATCAACTTTAATAAAGATTCCTCTTCTAATTTTTTTATAAAAAAATATCCATAGTGTTAGAACGAAAATCTTACTTGTGAGGAATACTATGTCCAACCACAACAAATACCAAAAACACTACCATTTTGAAAACACTTTTAAAAATGTTCATGTTTGATATTGTTATTCTAATTTATATTTACATATAAAATTACACTTTCATTCTTTGAATTAAATATATTGTATATGTAGCTGGTGCAATTTTCATTTATCATCTATCAATGTAAATATTATAAGAGGTTGAAATACATAAAATAATTTGAATGATTAAAAAGTCTAAAAAAAAGTTTTTTAAAAAATACCCCTTTATTAGTGTTATCAATTATTATAATCAGAAAAAAAATATATAAAATAGTTGAACATATACTCAACCTCAATTCATAATACTAACAACATTCTAATTCTAATACGTGTACTATTTTATTTTAAAAGGTACTCTTGTTTTTCTTAATCCAAAACGTACTCTTCTTATTCATGCTATTCAGGTTCCGCAATGCAAGCAAATACAATCTCTTCTTGTTTATTCTTTATTTAACTTGTTCTTTTATAATCCTTTAAACATTTTTTATATTTATTATAGAGCATCTTCATTTTATCACTCATCTCAAAATTTATTATTAAATATTTTTAAAATCATATAAATTGATCTCTACCAAAAATAATCTTCCAAACTAAAATAACTCTTCAATAATTAATGTACACGTTCGAAAATATTCAAATATTAGATATAGAATTTAATTAAATGCTTCCAAGAGAATGAAATACAAGTGACAAAATGACTTGGTTTGATGAGCCATTTCATTGCTCTAGGACATTGAGTATGTGGAGCTCTTAAATTTAAAAATGCATAAAAAAAATTAGGTCCATAAAATGTAGAGTTGAAATTTACTAACTTGATTCAATATTATTTTCATTTGTAAAATTAAGATAAAATTAGAGGAAAAAAAGAGTTGATTGATTTGACTTAATTACAAATAATAGTAGACTAATAAATAAGCATCTCATAACTTATTTTACATGCATTTAACTTGTTAAGTAGTGTTAAATTAGTCCATCTTAACTCAACTCATTTGACAATTTTAGAAGAAAAACTTTTCATGATGTTTTGATGTATATGGAATAAGATTGCTTTAATAAATGATACTCGAGTTATGATGTATATAAAAAAAATGTATTCATTAAAATATATTTTAGCATTTGTGAAGCAAATAAATTTTGACTTTAGTCTATGTAAATTTTTTCTTTATTTTTTATCATCAAAATCTTGAAACTATTAATTTTTTTATTATTATTATGTAACATTTTTTTATTGATAAAAGGTCAAATAATCATTTAGTTGATACTCATTAATGTTTTATGAGACCTTTGTAACGATTCGTCGAGTTTCTACACTTAATAGTTTACAACTAGTAGTAGAAAAATATACATATTTCTACTTAAGATCAATATACAATAGTTCATGAATAAAACAAGTAATGATATATATACATGTACAAAATCTATACCGACAAAAAAAGGCATACATAAGTATATATGTATACACTGTAATCCAAAAATTGTAATATATAAACTTAGGTTGTTAGACAACCAACAACTAACAACTAGTAGGCTAGTCACCCCAAAGTAGCTCAAAATCAGCATTGTTAACCAACATGGTCTCCAAATGACTTCATCAAATAACATATCCTTACTATACTCTTATATCAAGTATAATTATCGCAATCCAACCACATAAAAACATGTAAAAGTAAGTTAGAATTCAAAGAAATCAACATAATCACTATAGAGGTAAAAACACCTATACTATCAACATAAACAACTTGACTTCATTCAACATAGTGTTAACTCACAAATTTTCAACATTAAACAACATGTTCTTCAACTTGAACAACACAACAACACCTCAATGCAACTCATCACAATTTAACATGGCATATGAACAATACAACTTAGTCAACACATCGCATGCACAATACAACAATTATATGTATCATCACGTATTTCAACTAAGAGATCTCTTACAACCCATGTGAATAGTCTAAGTGGCTCGACCCTATCGAACCAACAACCCAATCTTTTCGATCCAATTAGATTAATAACCAATTTGCATAAAAATCCACAACATAACATGGTTTTTCAAATTTTGTCACTTAAACTAGAAAGTCTAATATTTATGTCAAGGTAGAATTAGCCACCTATGAAATTAGTCTACTAACTACCCTCCAGATATTATGTCATTCTAGTACTTAGTTAGGAATTTTGGCTCTCAATCATGTTCCTTACTCTAGTTTGGTCGCTTTCTACACGCATGTCTCAACCTTGCCCACATATGAGGTTACTTATAATCAGTATGCCTCGACTTAACTCACATATCGCATAAACTAAGGTCTCAGGAAAGACATAATTATCCACTTCAAAGGTTAACTTCCTAAGCAAGGTTTTCAACCAACTGGGCTCTCAAAGTACCACAACATAATATCCTTTCATTGGAATATGCAACTTTAAAAATAATTTCTCCTTTGGTCTTAAGTCAAACAACACGGTACAACTTTCAACACCATGCCATAAATATTCTCAACACAACTACTCAATAAAACAATATACAACTCAACTTAACTTTCAACTATTTAATCATTTATACAGTATCCTAGATTAATGTACAAAGATTCAACATCATACACCAATATACAAACATATAGCACAATTTATTCATCATACAACATGCAATAAATTCAATTATCATATACATGTTCACTAATTCATTATGAAAACAACAAGTTAAAATAAGGCAACTTGCGCTCTTCATTATCCATCCTGTGCCCGATGCTATTAAAGTAGGGAGTCCTCTACCTTGCCCACGCTCAACATCATATACAACCTACGCTCGACATAAATTTGGTAGGGACCCTTGGACCCTTATGTTTGGCTTGGCAAAGTCCATGTCAGCCTCAATCCAGGTAGAAACGATTTTCTCTCCTCATGCTCGGTGTTACTCCTTTAGTGCCCAACGTCAATCTAGAAGAGCCAATTCTCTCACCTCACATTCGACGTCATTCAAATTACACTTGATGCCATTTTAACCCGATACAATTCCCTCTCCCCATGCTTAATACCACCAATCTTGTGTCTGACATAAGAAAAATAAAGAACTTCTAATTGAAACCACACTTGGCGTCACGAAGGTGCGCCCAACATGACGATGAGTTTTACACTTGGTAGACTCTCAAATTTGCTCAACTCGCCTGAAACTCAGTCAAATCCAACACATGCAACACAAAAATATCATATATTTACATCATCCACAAATCATTTTTAGCAATAACTTCAACATGGAACCAATAAAATGATCAAATCATCAAATTCTCACAACACATTCATGAAAGTACCGAAACACAAATCTCAACATCCAATCTACACAAGTAAACCAACACAACTATGAATTGAGTAAGATCAAACATCATGTAGCTTCACAATTCAACAAAAAATTGAAATCTAACTTCCCTTACCTCAATATCAAATAAAAACATAGTAGGAGAAAGCGAAACGTCCACCCCAAGCTACTCTTAGTTACTCCACACGACAACTACTTATAGATTCTTGGCTCTACAACACCTTGAATCCCAACATAATAAATCAATCATAATCTAAGGAATCTGAGTACTCGAGAATTTAGAAAAGGAATAAGAACTTTCTAATTTCATAATACTTCTATCTAAACTCTTTTCAACTTTTTTAAGAAATTGAACTTATAAAATCTCCTTCTTAAGAAAGATCTTATACACCTTTCCTTTTTCTGACTAAATTAAACTCCTCAAAGATACCTCTAAAAAATTAAAAGTTATAAAAGATTTCAAAATTCCAAAGTTTCCAATAATTAACAAATCAACACAATACAAGTTATATTAAAATCAACAACACAAAATAAAAACATACAATGTTACAACTTAAAAAAGAACGTATTTATTTAACTTAAAATAATTTTCAAGAACAAATAATTATTTCATATATTTTAGAGATGAAAATTAAAAAATATTTTATAAAAATTAAAACCGAATTCCCTATTTTATGAGAGCAAGTGAATGATATCAAATGTTAGAGGGTGATTTATTTATTTATAAAATACTAAAATGAGAATCGCTTATCTTACTCAGATTAAAAATATATTCGAGGTTAAATATAATTTTTATATTTTGGAATATTTTAATTTTGAATTTAATAAATTGTTTAATAAACATCGACATCTCTTCACTTCGTAAACCCCGTCTTTGTTGTTGCACTGACCGGCAATGGAATCCGAGACTCTCCAACGACGCCGTTCGAGCAGTGCCAGCCCCAACAACGCGCCTATCAGAGAGAAGAGGCAGAAACGCAGCGAGGTGTGTCGTTTTACGAATCTGAACCAAACCATGGTTAGGTCACTTACTCGGTTCCATTTTTCAATTTTCAGGTACTCGCCAAGAAGAAAGCCGTCGAAGAACTCATCAAAGCCGCACGTGCCGAAAAGGACCATCTTGCTACTTTTCCCGCGTTTCGCCGTTTCCACTTAAACGGTAACCGTTTTGGATTTGCTACATCTTGTTATTTCAGTTACCAAAAATTAAAAAAAGATTATTGGATGAGTTAAAGTTGTGCTCACACATCAATGGCTTGCTAGATTCCCGATGAACTTGGTAACTAACTTAACGAGGGTTCTAACCAATTTAAATGCGTGTTCGGTTTAATGTGTTTGATCCTCTTATAATATTATATAATAACTTGCCCTAACAATAAAACTAGATAAAACTTCATTGAACTCTGTTTGAATAAACTTCTCCAAAAATATTTGTAGGAAAAGAAACTGAAATGAAGTGGATATAGTAAGCTTATCTACTGAAAATAAAGAGTATTTTATAGTAAAATAGTTCTTAAAAACTCTTCTGGACTATATCCAAGCATGCTCTGTGTACAAGTTAAAAATAATTTTTTTTTTTTTGAAAAACCTAATATGAGAGTTTTTATAAATTAACTTATTTGATTTTTTATTTTATATTTTCTGCTTCTATAAGTACTTCATGAGAAGTTTATGCAAAAAGACCCTTATTACAGTAACATGAGTTTATTATCACTAGGGTCGGCCCATCAATGAATGATTTGGGTAATATGTAAAAGGTTTTAGGTACTAATGTTCTTGTTACATTGTAGGCTAAATTTTTTTATTTTTTATTTATTATTATTATTATTATTATTATTATTATTATTTTTTACAATAACACGAGTCAATGAAAGAGGTGATAGTGGGGGCTAACTTTTTTAATTTTTGATACCGTGTTATTAGTGCAAAGTATCCCTGCCAATGGATAATGTTGATTTTTGTGTTTGGTTGTTTTTTTGTTGGTTCTAAGTGCCTATTTTTAACCTGATTTCTAGGTCTCTCTGTGTGCTTGAAGTCAGGACATGGCAATAAACTTTCCTCACCTATTAAGCATTATATTCAGAGTCTCCTTAAGGTAGAGAGAATGCTAGAGATTTAGAATATGTGTGTGCTCGTGGGTGTGTTTATACTAGAATCTGAAGGAGAATCTGTAATTTTTCCCATTTGTTCATGTTTATCTACATTTGGTTTTTGTTCTGTTCAAAAGATGTACCTAGCTAATTCCGTGAAAGAGAGAGAAGAATTATTTATTGAAATTTTGAATTTTATTCTCGTTTTTTTATGATGTGATATGATTAGTGTCAAAATCTGTCTTTTTGGATCATGGTTGGTTTTCGTTTGTTATTTGTTGAAATGAAATGAACGGGCTTACAAAAATGTTTGATTTCTGTTTCCCAAACCTGCAGCTAAACATGGAAGGACCGTATGGATCTGAGTGGACAGAGGAAGAAAAGGTGAAGCGCAGAGAAATGGTTGCTCCTGAAGCACATTATGTATTTGTGCATGAGGTTGCCAATTCAAATGCTGATGAGATGACAATGATGTTGACTGCAGCAGAGACTTCAACTTGTTGTCTAGAAGATAGTGGCCCATTGGTTGGATTTGTACAGTACCGCTTTATTTTGGAAGAAGAGATACCAGTGCTTTATGTGTATGAATTACAGCTTGAGCCTTGTGTTCAGGGGAAGGGACTGGGGAAGTTTCTAATGCAACTTGTTGAGCTTATGGCGCAAAAGGTAATGCTGAATTGTTTTTACATCTTCCTTTGATATTAATGATAATTGAGAAGTGGCACTCTGTTGCAACTTGCAAAGGACACAGCCGTTAAGCTTGGGAAAGATGATGGATTGTTGAACATTATGATATGTGAAGAAACTAAGTTTATTTTTTGGTTGATGTATAGTATTCATAATTTCCATTTGGAAATTTCTTATGCCCTTTAACAGGATTTTCAATGTATACGGTCTCTGATCTACTATTTTCCTTGTTTAATGTCTTCTGTAGAACTGTATGGGTGCTGTCATGCTGACTGTTCAAAAAGCAAACACATTAGCTATGGATTTCTATACAAGTAAGCTGAGGTAACATCTCCACTTATGTATGCTGCCATCATTGAACTACTTTGCTAAATATGTCAAGTTTGATGAGAATGAAAGGGAGACAGAATTTCCTAACACCAAATGTTCGTGTTCTGTTAGGCTTACTAATTGTATGTCAACCTAAGACATTTCATGGTAAACTTGTCTGATTTTGAACAAGCATACGAAGGGGACAACATTGCTAGTCTTAGTGCAAACTGGCATTCTGTCGCAGTGGGTTTGGAGGGGGAGGGTGGAATTGTTGACAAGTCCTGATGAAAGGTGTAACCAATAATCCGTGAACATATTATTGAAAAGAGTGATCTGAGAGTCTGAACCTAATATATGTTTAAGAGGGGTGTTTCATTAATTCAAAATCATGAGAAGTTCACAAATAACTATGTTTCATGTGTTCAACAACTAACTTTTCAACAAACACTTCTAGGAAAAGAAAAGAGAATGAATCAAGGAGGAAATATTAATCAAAATTCTCTCAAATTGAAATCAACTTGGGTGCATCATCTTGTTTAGAGTCTCCCTCATTTAATTTCTCAACATGTTGACGTGTATAAGTTAATTTAACTTCTATGAGAAGTTTGATTTATTTTACCTCCTTAATTCATTTTATTTTATTCTCTTCTAAGCATTTATTGAGAAGTTTATCCAAACTACCTTATTACTATATATAGTTATATTTTCTCATGCAATCACATGCTTATTTGCACAAATCCAGGACATGTCAATTGCTTGTGTGATTCTAATTTATAATTTAGTTATTATAATAGTATTTGTTATCTTTGGTGATTACACATAAAAATAAAGAACAGTATGATTATTACAGGTCTCTCTGCAGCTCTAATAAAAAGTTTTGGATTTTTGCAAGTCATGCAAATGTTTCTATTTTATCTACCTTTTGCTAATATACCTTTTTCCCTCCCTTTGGTTTTTGTTTTGTTGAATGATGAAATATTTCTGTTACAGATATATCATATCGGCTATGTCACCTTCAAAAGTCAATCCAATGGTATACAGAATTTTTTTTTTTCCTTTTTCATGTTATCATATGAAAATGTTCTGCTATTTTTTTTTCTTAAATGCAGATGGACAAGAGTTATGAAATTCTTTGTAAAACATTCAATGATGAAGCTAAAACCATTTTGGAGGTAAGGCACCAACTGAGGACTCTGTTAGATTTGATTTCTGAAGCAGTGCCACTAAACTTCATAAAACACCTTTCCTTATGAGCAATTTCCAAATCAGTTGGGTTTTAAACTTCGTATCATCATACATTCACCATTGAATTTTGTAAAACACCTTCCCCATTTAACTGTATGTCTAGATCAGTCATGCTTTAAAGTTTTTATTGCTATGACATTTTTATGCTTCACATTCTACACTGTAAACATTATCTCAGAAGAACTACGTTTTTTTTAACATTTGTTTGATCTTGGTCTTTCCCTTCTTGTACCAACATGACGAGGCTGCTAAATGGGAACAGTTTTTTCTTTTTCATCTTGGGGTGGCTATATTAGTTGAACTTGTCGGATTGCATACGATCTTTCGAGGCTGTGCTCCATTTAGTTGGTGATATACCAATTATTCTTGAGATATTTCAATACTTAGGATGCTGTTCTTTCTCTGGAAAAGAAAGATGATTTGAGTTAGTTCTCCTTGGGTCTGTTTTGCTTTAGCTTTTTTCTAATTTGTTACTTGAAACAGAAATGTTAACCTCGTTAGCTTGTGTGTTCAGTAAATACATCTGCATGTTTCTTCTGTTGATATTCAGTGTGACCAAAGCTTTTTAAATTTGCGGGATAGAGAGGATGAGTTGGTCCTGTTGGACTCAAAGTGATTAGTCCCATTGATAAAAAAAAGAAGTGATTAGTCCCATTTTTATAGGCTTCTTTACTGTACCAACCAAGTACCCTTCTTTATTGGGTTCTTTTTGTTTCTTTTTTATCTGTTCATTTAAAAGAATTTTCTTTTGTCACATTGTAGATGCCAGCTGCTTGAGATAAAGTGGGTCTGACTCATCCTTGCTCAAATGTTATATAACACGAGGTTGTTGGAAGTGGAACACAAGTATTTTTCATGCAAAGTTCGTCTGAAATTAAGCCAAGATGAGGGGGCATGTGCTGACAAGAATTATATTGGTAAATAAAAGACAAATGGTGCATGATAGGATTGCGTTCTATGTTTTAGGAAAAAAATGATTCTTTAGGATAATGTTATTTTATTTTTAGCTTTTCTTAGTATTGTGTTTTATGAGGAAGATTGTATATTGGAAATGTAACAACTGAATCCATTCGTCACGAATATCAAAAACACTTTGCTTCTCCTTTGTGCCTTTTAACATTTCATCGCAAATCGCCTTTTACTTTGCTTCTCCTTTGTACCTTTTACACTTTGATTTTAGAAACACTTTGCTTTTAATCGCCATAATAGAAAATTTAGGAGTCCTTTAATGAGCCAGATCATCATCATCTATGCCTAAGGTATTCGGTTTGGTAACCACTTTAAGGAATATGGTTCAGGAACCACTTTCTTGATTTCTATTCACTCTACATTAAAAAAAAAAAAAACTCAATATAGGTATCTACTTTAAAATTTTAATATTTCTTTTACAATTATTTTTTCTTTAAACTCTTAAAGAATAAATATAGAGGTAAAAAGTATTTCTTTTTATAAGATGTATTTATATTAGGAAGCCCCACTTTTAAAATGGAACCGTTATCCAAATGCTCTAATGCATCGTCTATGATATATAATGGGTACAGATAATAGTGACTTTAAATCATCGTCTATGATATATATCATACAAGGGGACAATGTCTATGCATCACGTTGCTGAAGGGAGAAAATGCGTTTTTTTTTTCTTTTTTTTTTTCTGGCTTTTGTGTATGGGCTTTTTGACCAAACTCGGGTCCTTTTACAAGTTTATTACGTAAATGGGGCTCTTTTGAAAGTATTTACGCCTTTGGGACTGTTTACGACGGTGTCGCTATAGCTATAGCGACACCAATGATACGTGGCAAAATTTTTTTTTTTTGTGTAGAGTGGGCTGGAATGAGCCACATGAGTGTCGCTATGGGCTGGGCCAACACAGTTGATGCACTAAGAAAAATGATGTAAGCCCATAGCGACACCCTCTAACAAAAAAAAAGAAAAAAATGAAAAATAATAGAAATGCAAAATAAAATTAATAAACTGATTTATTTTATTATATGTTTATAAAAATAAAATTAAGTTATTTAAAAATGTAATTTTAAAATAAATTTGATGTATTTTTTAATAGAGGCGCTATGGGCCATAGCGACACTGTGTCGCTATGGGCCATAACGCCTTGCATTTTAATTTTTTGCAAAATAATCATGTTTTATATATAATTATTCGTTTATATATTTTTAATTCAAAGTAAACAAACTGAATAATTAAAATAAAATTATTATATTAAAAATAATTTTAAAATAAATTGTGGAAAAAATAAGTAAATAAAATAACATTATATATATTTTAAATAGTGGCACTATGGCCTATAGCGACACTGTGTCGCTATGACCCATAGTGCCACCACCTTTTTTTTGTTTTTGTTTTAAATTAATAAGTTAAATTTTTTTTTACAAATTTTTTATTATTATTCATTTTTACATAAGATTATATTTATAAATGTATGTTTTCTGTAATATCTTAATTTTATACAGCTTTTATTCATTTTTATGTTTTTTTATTAATTTAAAAAGTGGCGCTATGGCCTATAGCGACACTGTGTCGCTATGGCCCATAGCGCCACCAGCTTTTAATATTTTTTTTTTAATTATTAACTTAAATTATTTGATACAAATTTTATTTTTTATTATTCATTTGACATAACATTATATTTATAAATGTATGTTTTCTGTTATTTTTTAATTTTAATCAATTTTTATTCCTTTTTATGTAATTTTCTTAATTTTAAAAGTGGCGCTATGGCCCATAGCGACACTATCAGTATATACCCCCCTCTCAATTACGTTTTTTTCCCATTTGGAATCAAATATTTAACAGTTACGTTTTGCTTTGATTTAAATTTGTGAGCTAGTTACGTTTGTTTCTGATTGAAATATGTGAGTATAATTTTGTTTTTGTTAATATATAAATTGTAGCTATTTGTACTAATTAATTTTTTTGTTGCAAATATTATGGATCAAATGATTGCTTATATTTACACTGGAAAGATGTATGAAGGTGCTGAAGGTGCTGAAGGTGTAACATTTGATGGACCAAGAAAAGGAATGTATATTAAACGAGGTATCACTTTGGATATATTAAAGAGAAGGATTCACAACAAATTTAGTCTTAACTCAAATCAAGTGGTATTATCTATAAGTTACAGATTTTTAGTTTCACAAGGTGATAACAACATATATTCTTCATTGGGATTGAGTGACGATGATGATGTACAATGCAAGATAGAAGCATTTCAGAGCCAAAATGTGATGTCAATAATGGAATTATATGCTGAAATAGGTATGCAAGAATCTTCTACTTTTTCATTAGAAAACTTGTCAATTGAACGATCACCTTTGATCACAAGAGACGAAGATGAAGATGACGAAGAAGATGAAGACTATCATGTTTCATCATCATATGAAAGCATTGATGAATCCAATGAAGATGAAATTGATAATTGTGAACCATCTGATGATGAGGTGCAGCCGGATGTTATTGTTAATAGTCCAATGGTTGAACCAATTTCAATGTATCCATCTACTGAAGGTAACATCTGAAAATTAAATTTGTCAATAATTTGTTATTTGTTTAAAATAAATTGTTGAAATTGATTTTATTGAAATTACTAAATTCATTATTATTAAAATAGGTGGAAGTCAATTTTGGGGTAATTTACCCCACTACACTAACATCAATTGGAATCATCCCGATGAAGAAGATATCCCAGGGATGGATCTGCGTAATACTTGGTCAATTGGCCAAGATTTATATGTGGGGTTGGAGTTTGAGAATAAAGATGCGGTTAAAAATGCAGTAAAGCAAAATGCAATGAGAATGCATCAAAGTTTTTATGTGGTTGAGTCGAAAAAGACTAAATGGGTTGTTAGATGTCCAAATGCACATGATGGATGTGGATGGTACATGAGAGCCATTGAGTCAAAGAGATCTGATAACTGGAAAGTGACTCAGTGGGGTGGACGTCATACGTGTTTGAACATGTCTTTGTCGCAAGATCATGCTAAGTTAGATTCTGAGTTAATTGCAACATTTATACAAGGTAAGTTCTGCAAAGTTTATAGTTTATATTAATAATAATTTATGTTTGTGTTTACTAATATTTAATATGTTAGTGTTTACTAATATTTAATATGTAGGAATGGTTAACCAAGATCCATCAATAAAGATTAGCCTTATCCAAGAGAGAATAACATCTCAAACTGGGTTCAAAATATCTTATAGAAAGGCTTGGATGGCGAAACAAAAAGCAATTGTTAACGTTTTTGGAGATTGGGAAGAATCGTATGCTTATTTACCTCGATGGCTGCAATACATGAAAGAAATTGCTCCAGGGTCATTTTATGATCTGTGTCATGATGAGTTTTTTGTTGGTAATCGTTGTCATCGTGGTTACCGTCAATTTCACAGATTATTCTGGACATTCAAGCCGTGTTGTGATGCCTTTAATTTTTGTAAACCGTTGATACAAGTTGATGGCACTCATCTGTATGGCAAGTATCGAGGTACATTGTTGATTGCTACAACACAAGATGGTAATAACAACGTTCTTCCTCTTGCATTTGCTGTGGTTGAAGGAGAAACATTACTTGCGTGGTCGTGGTTCTTGTCTCATTTGCGGTTACATGTTACAAACAAAGAAGGGATATGTTTAATATCTGATCGACATCGTAGCATTAAATCGGCCATTGACAATGAAGCAATTGGTTGGAGACCGCCAAATGCATATCACAAGTACTGCATTAGGCACATTGCAAGTAATTTTAATACTCGATTCAAGGATGTCAAACTTAAACAAAAGCTTGTGAAGTTAGGTACGTATTGTTATTTTAAATTTTTCAACCATTTTAAACAAATTTATAGTGCGTTATTTTTAATTGGTATGCAGGGTATACACCGTGTAAGCACATTTTTGATCGCAATTTGGAAAAGTTTTGTCAATCTAACCCTGATGTTGAAAGGTGGATAGGAGCGATATCTAAAGACAAATGGAGCATGGCATATGATGCAGATGGTCGAAGATATGGTCATATGACAACAAATTTGTCTGAATGTGTTAACAAGGTGTTAAAGGATTGTAGAAATCTCCCTATCACTGCATTAGTTCGGTCGACGTATACCAGGTGCGCTGAGTATTTTAGTAATCGTGGTAGTCGTGCTTTAGCCGATGTTTCATCTGGGAAGGTCTTCGTTTCAAAGTTGGTTGAAGCTTTGCAAAAAAATCAAGAAGAGGCTTGTTCCCACCAAGTTTGTAGATACGACATTCAATCTTCAAAATTTGAGGTTGAAGAGGCCTTTGATCCAGTAACACAAACAGGAGGGAAGAAATGGGTAGTAAATTTAAAGGAACGATACTGTCAATGCAGAAAGTTTACAGCATTTCATTATCCTTGTTCTCATGTTATAGCTGCATGTGGTGTTGTTAGCATTGATTACTACCAGTTTATAGATCCTGTTTATACCAGTGATTATGTTTTAAAAGCCTACTCTGGTCCGTGGGAACCAATCGGAAATGAAGACTTAATCCCTCCGAGTAATGAGGATTGGATACTTGTCCCAGATCCAACATCGGTGCGCGGGAAAGGGAGACCAAAATCCACAAGAATTAGAAATGAAATGGATTGGGTTGAGAGCTCACAACGACGACCAAAATGTAGCATATGCAAACAAGAAGGTCACAACAGGCGCAATTGTCCATCTAAGTCTAATAATCAGTCGATAAATTTTGAAGATGTTTAGCATTTTTTAAAGATAATGTAATTACTAATGTGTATTGATGATGGTCATTGTATAACATAATGTAATTACTATTGTCTATTCATAATTATACAAAATCTACTCATCATTGTCTTCCTCATCTTCCTCATGATGATTCCCTCTAACAGTAGCAGGAGTTAGAATACACCGTCGTGGTCTTTCCCTTGCAACCCTTTGAGGATTTCTTCGAACAGGTAATTGTTCTGGCTGTGATGGTTGATGACTAGCCTCCGCAGAAAATTGTGGACGCAAATCAACACCTGCAACGTCATATTTGACACAAATTATTAATATTCATAAAAATTATAAGAAGAAAAGAATAACAAATTAATAAAATATGAGTAGACCTGATGTATAAGCACGACTGATATAATCATGATCATACAGAATATGAAAAGGTGTTTCCTGACTAGATTGTGTGGCATCCTGTGGCATACTTGGCTGTGGAGTCATTAAAGGGGAATGTCCAAAAATATGATCCATCATTTCTGATGACATAGTTGGTTTCGGTGATGAGTCTAAACCAAGTGACTCATAGATATGTGTAGTAGTCATCGGAACTGATGTCTCAAAACCTGGAGGGCGAGGTGGAGTGTACCAATATGTATATTGGGATTGCGATGGATAAGTGCGCTCTTGAGAAGGAATATAATATAACCCTGCTACTCTGTCTGGCACTGTAGGGTACATCTGATCCATCGCCTCAACTGCCGTTCTTCGTCTAGGTAACCCTGCAGCCTCCCTTGACTGTGGAGGAACATTGAAAGCCCCCACGTCATATGAACCAGGGGGAAGGGGTGCTTCCTCAGCTTTTTTTTATTTCAATTTAGTCCCTAATAATTTAAATTACTGCAATGTTGTACTTCTGTCCAAATTATTTAAACAGAGTTAATTGTTGGCCACGTGGATGCCACATAGATGCATAGGTGGATGTCAGATTTCTTTAATGCAATTGAAACCAGAACGACTCGTTCTGAAATCAGAATGTCAAACACATACGTACATTCAAAAAAATGTAGCAATGTAGTTCAAAAATTGAAAATAAAAATTCATAACGTAACATAAATTTAAAGACTGAAATATGGTTCAGAGACTGAAAAAAAAATTCATAACATAACATATACTAAGAAAGTTTAAAGAAATTACTGAGAAGGGAAATCATCTAGATAACGTTGAAGGTGTCAATAATACATCTTATCCACCATATAATTATAGTGTTGTTGACGTTCATCCATCTCTTGCAATCGATGATCCATACACTGAATGGCTGACAGGATATCAACATTATCTACCTGTACTTGTGGTTGTGTGGTGAAATATTGGTCATGTGTGTCTTCTTCCTCTACTTTAGGTTGTACCTCCTCAAGAATAGGTTGTTGTTGTTGGGGTACATCGGTCAATGACTTCAAGGAAAAATACCATGTCGTTTCATCCTTGACTGTATAGTGCCAATTTGGTAGTAAGTGGTTCACTCCAGTTTGACTAATAATGAAATAAAACTTGCCACAATTGTCCTTAGTGATACACTGCATTGTCCTTAATGATACACTATATAGCCCAAATGTTTAGCAATTGAAGTTATCAATCCCCATTGATAATATTACCAAATTCAGTGTTTGAAATGCTTTGTACCTTAGGTCTTTTTCCTTGCACGATTCACAACCATGATTTAGAATCACGAGCGAGAACTATAATCATCGACGGTTTGTGTTTGGCATTCTGGAACCAGAACAACCCATTCTGCTTGCACTATTGATGTGTTAATTTTGCATCTGGAATGGCTCGTTTCAGGTGCAAAATTAACACACCAAGAGTGCAAGCAAAATGGGTTGTTCTGGTTTCAGAATGGGTCGTTCTGGTTTCAGAACGGGTCGTTCTAGTTCTAGATGCATTAAAGAAATTTGGCATCCACCTATGCATCTACATGGCATCCACGTGGCCAACATTTAACTCCGTTTAAATAATTTAGACGAAAGTCTGACATTGCAGTAATTTAAATTATTAGGGACCACATTGAAACAAAAAATTAAAGTGGGACTAAATTGAAACAAAAAATATTATAAGGGACCAAATTAGGTTTTTAACCTAAAAAATTAACTTGAATTTAATTAATTATTATAAATAAATAAAATTTGATAAAAAAAAACTCTAAAAATATTTGATCAAAGTTTTGTAGGAGAAATTAGTTGTCAATAAAGTTGAAGAATTTAATTTTTAATTTTTAGCCTACCTATTTATACCTGTCTAAAGGGCACATGAGTAATTTTCTAGTAATCTGAAGGCCGAACGAGAGCTCCAAGCGAATATTCTGGTGAGGGAGAGGGTACCTGCAAAAGGCACTCCAACGCTCAAGTCAGGACAAACACGAATACCGGTAGTAATTAATGAACAGTAACATTACCTCAAGGTGTGAACCATTTATAGTGACATTAATGGACCCTGTACTAGGGTTACCTGATTAGGTAATACGTCCTTACTTGGCTTATTCGCATGATTAACCCTTAATAACTGCTTAGGGATGATTACTGGTTTCATGGTTCATCCATCTCTTGCAATCGATGATCCATACACTGAATGGCTGACAGGATATCAACATTATCTACCTGTACTTGTGGTTGTGTGGTGAAATATTGGTCATGTGTGTCTTCTTCCTCTACTTTAGCAAAAAAATACAAATATAACTAAATTAATTACACATAATGAAATTTAATCATTTTAAATTAAATCAATTTTAAATTAAAATAAAATTATTTTTAAAAATATATAAATTACACAAAAATGAATTAATTCAATTTTAAATTTAAATATCATTATTTTCAATATAAATAAATTGTACACAGAAATAAATTAAATCAATTCATAATTTAAATAAAACTATTTTTTAATTAAATATAAATAACACAGATTTAAATAAAATTAATTTTGAAATCAATTTAAATTACACAGAATTAAATTAAATCAATTTAAATTTTAAATATCATTATTTTTAAAATAAAGATAAATTACACAGAAATAATTTAATTCAATTAAAAATTTAATAAAATTTTTAAAAAATAAATTTAAATAACACGTTATTAAATTAAATGACACGTGGCCACTGTAATCAATTTTTCAACTACCATCAGTGTCGCTATGGGCTATAACGACTCTGTGTCGCTATAGGCCATAACGGCACTATATTTGAAGTTTTTTTTTTTTTTTTTTTTAAATTATTAACTATATTATTTTTTTAATTATTTTATTTTACATTATCATATACATTTTAATTACTATTTTATAAACTTATTTTTTCATTTATTTCTTTATTTAATATATTTTTTGCTTTTTTTTTTAATTTAAA